CATCCAAGGTCTGCTGTGTGAAAGTGGTGAAAGCCAAATAAACAGGTTGATAGCCCATGAGACTTGACTGCCAGGCTGATTACAGCCAGTTTTCAAAGCGTGCTTGAACAGAGCATTGGTCCAGAAGGGCTGTGCAGTCCTGTTCAGCTCAGCCACCCCGGCGGGCCAAGCCCTGCTGTTGTCATGTACCCATACACGAGTGGGCACCTAGGTGAATCAGCACATCGCTGGCTGCTTGTAGAGCCACCAAGGAGACCACCCAGTTGGTGTGGACAGAGAAAGTTAAGCAATGGATGTATCTAAATCTCAGAGCAGTCGGGTCTCAGGTAAGCCAAAAGCACTCTACCCCGACCATGAAGTACCCATAACGCTGCAGTACAACTTGCAATCTTCTATTTCTATAACTTGTTCCTCTTCCTCAGCAAAAGTGGGAATCCTGTTTCTTAACATTTCTTCTGTGGTTCTTTGGTCTAAAGTGCAAAGGACTAGTTGAATTTCGGTTCCGTGACTACTGTCTTGCCAGTACCCCTTTAGTATGTGTCTTGTGCCAAAGAATATTAATTATTGTAGGCTACAGTCCATCCCTACCCCCCCAGCTTGAGACTGAAACAAACAGTGAAGTTGAACTTTGCCAGCAACTGTTAGGAAAAGGGCCAAGAACAGCCTAACAGGAAAGATACTGAGGATTTTTTGTTTGTTTTTCTGCTAAACCATGTTTTTGTAATTACGAATACTTTGTTGAAATTGCTTAGAAAAGTAAGTGCACATAAAACAGTCCATACAATTAAACTAACTACATATTAGAGTTGAAAGAATATAAGGTTGGTCTCACTCCGCTGCACTCACACAGACAAAACCCCTTCTCAAAAGGAATTTGGCTTTAGAATGCAGACCTGGAGACAAATCTTAGTTAACTTCAGGCCTATGTGCCATATTGTCTGGTTTATGACTGCCCCAAATGGCCTAAAAGCAAAGGACATTCATACTAAACAAAGGCAAAGGCTGAAAGAAAGAGGAATCTGAAAGCTGTTGTTTCCAAATCCTTTCTACTCAAAACTTGGTTCCTGACTCCACATCAGGAAACCCTGAACAACGCAGCAATTACTTTATGCTCTTAAAACTATCTTCTGCTAGTCCAGAGAGAAACAGGACTACTTTATTTAGATTCACATGAATGCTGCTTTAATCATTCCCCATTTGCTCCTGTCACTTGTCCCCAAGCTTAATTTTGTAAAATCCTGAACCACTAAGCTGAGATCACTTGCCAAGGCAGCTTTCTCTTGCTTTCTAGGACTGCTGATTCTGAGGTATCAAAAAACAAAAAGTTTTTCAAGTGTGGGAAACTACAGCTTTGTTCCCTAAATAAATAAATTATGTGAAGGAATAAGTTGCAGTAGAACCACTTCAAATTGCTATACTTAAAATAACGTTTTATAATTTCCATTTAAATGGTTTTCTCTAGGAAGTGGCAATAAAAATAGAGGCAGCCTGCTCCTGACTCCTATCACAGTGAAGCACGTGTAGCATTTCTTTTTCTCACGGTAAAAGGAAAAATGTAATCGAAGAGTGAGAAAGCTCAGTATTTGGGAAAATTAAATCTTACCCATGACCGATAGAGCGAATGATAAAGCAAACTAAACTTTCAGAAACATACATGCAGCATTTATGTTCTGTCAAGCACTTTCACTTTCCATAGTAAATAGCCCCCTCTCCTGTACACAAAAGGGATTTGATGTATAAACAACGTTGCTGAAAACATGTCCAAAACGAAAGCCAGGTCTACTTTATTACAGCCCTAGTTTTTAAGGCCAATTCTGACCTTGTGCAGTCCCTTACCTAAGCAGTGGTATGCCGCCATTTGGCTGGGATCAAAAGAAAGCCTCCCATCTCCTCCAGAAACAGCACCGCAAAGCACATTACAGGGGGAAACTGGTCAAGCACTTAATACTACTTTTACCCGCAGCGGGTGGAATCGTGTTGGCCTGCGATGACAACCAGCTATTGCCATCTTCGGGAGCCTCTTGGTATTGCTGCAGATGAAGTCGAGATACCTGTGGCTGCTCTTGTTACAAGCCCCGTCGCTTGTGAGCTCTTGAACAAGGTGGTTAGGAGTGCTCGCCCCAAGACGCTTCAAACCCTCCAGTACAGCTCTCCTTTGAAAAACACGCAATGCCTTTTTTTATTATTATTAACCGTGTGACAAGGTAAAAATATCCCTCTCCTTCCTCTTACGTGAAATTGTGATAAAGGCATCTAATCCCTGGCCGAGCAGCAAACCCAGACCTTTGCTTCTATCAACCCTAAGTGGTATTGTTGCATTTGTTTTGCCTAACTGTACCTCTGTAGCCTACCTGCCTAGATACTCTGTAACCAGATAGGGCTCAAAGTGCTTCATAAACTATTAATTTACATTGTAGACATAGTGCAAGGTGACTATTGACCTGATTTACACATTGGAAGCACAGGCACAGGACTAAGGAGAGTTGCATGCTCAGGGCGTTCCCACCTTCCAGCCCAAGGTGAGGATGATCTTCACACAGATAAGTAACTCGGTGGGTTAAAAAAAAACCAAAACCTCTTGGTGCCTTTTACCTGTACGACACATATGACATCTGCAATTTTTGAATGTGTTTTAACACTAATGAGCAAGCAAGCAGCTTCTAGCTGAGTGGCCCATGAGCATTTTTGTACTCACATACCTCCTGTCACTCCTGCAGCTCCCAGCTCTGAGCACGAGTGGGGATGACATCCGGGCAGGGCATAACCAGGAAGTTAAAAACAACTTGGGAAACAAACCTTCACACAGCACTGGGTCCAAACCCATCCACAGGGGGAGTGGATACAGTGCTACCATCTTCCATAAAAGAAATTCGATATTTTCAGTCTAATAGGCCTGTGAAAAAAACCTTCCCTATGGAAAACTGAAAGGGATACGAAATGGGCACCTCATGACACAAGTGATCCAACAGGACAGCACTGAGGCAGTGGCGGGAAAACTTGCATCCCCTGTTCCGTCTCTTCTGACACTGCAAGTGAGACCTGAACACTCATCACCTCCTATTTGTTCCTCAAACAACTTAGACACATGCCTCGATGCCTCAGACTACGTCAAGTAATTCCTAAAATTTGTTGGACATGCATTTATTTTGGGTGTGAAATCAACCCTTAAATATAAAAGCATCCAGATTTATCAAAATTGTAAAAAAAAAAAAAACTGTATCACTGCAACTCTCTTATACATTTGGAATCCTCTAAGAGCATTGAACTAACTCAGGTACAAATTAGATAGTTCCCCTTGTTTGTTGCCCTTCCCTTCACTGTTTAGACCTTGCATATTGCAAACAGACCTGTCCCAAAGGCAGACATGTCAGCTTCTTCCCCTCAGCTGCTTTTCTTTGCAACTTAAATGCTATTTAGTTTCACTAGACTTCACCCAACTTTGCATAAAGTTGTGAAACCCTCGACCCACTCAACACAAATCTGATATCAAAGATAGCAGAGCTTAAAGAGCTTTAATTGAATTTTGTAACAGTAACAGAGCATGTATTTAATTTGGTGCTGCTGGTTTGTACTTTAAATACACACAAGCTTTCCACTCTTTAGAATTACTGCACTGTGTGCACATTGCTCAGCACAGAGCAGCACACAGCTACACACTCATGCATACAACTCACCTCACCCATGTCAGATCACTTTTGCAAACAACATTGCACATCCCATTAGGCCACCTGAACGAGCCTGGAAGTTCAGACTTGGGCGACCAAGTGACTTCAGCTCCAGCCTCACTCTGACATGCCACGGGCCTTGCTGCCCAGCCACCCGAGGACAAGGTGTTGTTCCCTCCTTACCCTGCCCAAGAGTGGCACCCAGTGGTCAAGTGCTTCCATGAGTACACTGGGAAACAGCTGCTCTTCCAAGTTCCCACCCACCCCATTCCCTAAACACAGCTAGAGACAGTTAAAATGCACTTGCTGTTTGACTACTGAGGTTCAAACTGCTACCCACTGTTTAAACTGTCTAGAAAGCCCAAGACTACCATCACTGGAGAAGACTACAGCCAGAGCTGGGAAGAGTGCACAGCACCAGAAACCCAGCACAGAAGGCAGCCAGCCACGCCCAAACAGGAGACAAAGTTACTACAGGGTCAAACACATCAGCAAATTGGTTCTTTGACAAAAACAAGTGTGCCACCTTGAGCAAGGAGACATATGTCCTTTTCTAAACAGATATAGCCTGTGAAAGGATTCTGGGGCAAGAGATTATTTTGCCCTAGATGATACAGCTCTGCTTTCTGAAAGGTCCTAGTACTCAAGCTGACTTCCAGGAATGCAATACTGCATCAAATATACACACTCTGATGTGCTGTTGCCCAAGAACCAAAAGCAGCATTAGGGTAAACAAAGCAGCCAGACATTAAAAGGCATTCAGGAATCTCAATACTAAGCTTTTTTCCCCATCAGTATCCAGAAAAGGACAATGCTTCAGATTTTGGGCATTAACCGAAAAGACGCACATAGAGGTGAACCCAGATGCAGAGTCCAGGACTGAACTCTGAAAGATTCCATTTAACTTTCTTCCCTCTTACACAAAGAAATTGGGTTCAGGTGACTTGTATTTATAGTCTTTGTAAATAAGTACAGAGAGAGCAAATGTCAGGACAGGATATCAGGGAGATAAAGGAGAAGGCAGGAAAAGCAAACTATAAAGTGTAGAGAAGGCAGCAGGAACAGAACCAAACTCTTTTCTCACTAAGCCGAGGCTGAACTGAAAGCACTATCAGTCTCTGAACCTAAATGTCAATGCTTAAACTGCCCCAGACTGCAGCAAAAGGGATTGCAAGGAGGAGATTAAACTGACACTGGTATGAGATTGATCGATGTCTTACAATGAGTTGAACAAAACTGACTTGCAACCCTTAGCTGCTTCCTTATCACGAACTGCTCCGACTTCTGAAAAACACTGTCATTTCTAACAAAGCAAATATTCAGCATTACAGTACGTGAATTTCTTGGAAAAAATTTAATATGGCAAACGTCTTCATAATACAGGTAAAACATACAGCATAGATTAGGGAGGGGTTTATAAGCAAAATGAATTAGTCTTTTCGTAACTGGACACTTTCCTCCTTAATTCCATCTTTTGTGACAATGCAAATCTTAAGTGCGTCCCCTGTGTACACATCTCTCTCAGCAGCAGAAACAAAGACGTCTTTAACCAGCTGCAAAGCCTTTTCCAGGGTCAGAGGCACGTGCTCCACATTCTGCATGTTCTTGAAGCCAATCTAAGAAAATATGAAAATGCACTTTAAAGGAAGTCTGATCCTTCCAGCATGAAAGCTGTTTCAGTCTCGGCAGTAGAACAAACAGATTTCAACTACTTAAGAAGGGAATGATCTGTTGTAGAAACCCAAAGCTGGTGCAAATATTCCTCCACACAGTTCACAGCTGCATGATCAGAACCTTGCTGATGCTCCTGCAGAAGGAGCTAGAAGCAGATCCAGCACAGAGCCAGCACAGCTCCACCCACACATTCAGCATATGCAAGATCATGATGAACATTCAGATCTGAACTGATCTAAATCTTCAGAAACTTCTCCTGGGGTTGGCAGCATCAGGACTGCACACAAGCCTCTTCTCAAGGCAGTTGTAATTAGGAACATTTCTTAAAAGCAAATACTCCTCAACATAGCTAGAATTAAAAAATAACAGTCTATATTAGAGCATAACTGGTCCTATTAAATAGTGTATTTTAGAAGTGTCCAATTAAGCACCAGAACAGGAAAAAGGGGGGAGGAGTCACTTACTTTGCCTCAAACTCATAAGCAGTAAAAAGCTACTTATGACAACTTTGTTTCTACAAAAGGTATTTTATTTTTCTTCAGTTAATAAAGCTCAAAACTAAGTCAAAGCTGGGAACCTGAAGTTGTGTAAATAAAAACAACAATTAACATTTAAGGAATATAGTATTTCCTGTTTTTCCTCAGCTGATAAGAACTAAGAGTGTGTTTTTAAGCACAAAAATTGTGTTAACAGCAGGCTCAACTGACTAAATACCAACACGGAAGTCAGAGAATAAAATGAGTAAAACATGCTTTGATATTTCTCTCATTTAACAATTAACAGCTTCCATTAAATATGAAATATTTGTCAAGAAGTTTTAGACATATTTAACTTGAATGAATTTCCATCACTTTTATATGAGAACATTCTTAGAAAATGGTCTCTGAGTTGTTGAAAAGTCTTAAGTTTTGTACAACCTTTAACTGATAAAATGTTTTACATACACCCTATCAAGTCTATCTTCTCAATTTAGTATTACCTCATGATAAATTACATGCATATTTATGTTACCAGCTAAAGAATAAAAACATCTGAAAAAAAAAAAAAAATCAGTTTGTATGGGAAATGTAATTCCCCAACTAAAACATTTACCTTTATTTTGAACAGACACTCAACTGTTTGTAGCATATTAAAAACCTGAACAGATTCTAAAGCAAAGCTCTTCATTTCTCCCATAGAAGGTAATGCCACACAACTTATAAGTTTATGGATTAACAAACCTACCTGTAATACATCTAGAACATGTCTCGAAAGTGTCACAAATGTTCACTGAAATAATAAAAGGTAAAGAAAAAAAAGAAAATTTACCTGGTTATCAAGCAAGGGCTGCAGCATAGCACTTGCTGATCCACCCGCTTTGTAAGTATCTCTCTGGTATGAGCCCACTGGATCAAAGCTATATACTGCTCCCTTGCCTGAAAAAAAAAAAAAAAAAAGTATGTAATTACAATCCAGAAAGACTCCCAATACTGATGAGCAATTACATCAAAAACTATAGCCATACAGCAGGCTTGCCACGGGTGTAGCCTGGTACTACACACAAGGTTGTTTTCAATATTTAAACTGTAGCCACGCTCTAACATACGTTTCCTGCAGCACTTGCCCCAGAGAAGATGCTGGTGCAGAGTAACCAAAGCAGAAGGCGCCGGGGCGCAGCACTGCGCAGAGCTCTGCTGGCTCCAGGGCCAGCACAAAGAGGCAGCTCAGCCGTCACCCTCGAAGGGCGACCTCATGCTCTGCCTCCAGAGCTCGCCCAGCTGCCTCTGCATCCCTCCTCTGGTCCCTCACGTGGCTCCCTCTGGAGCCAGGCCGGGCTGGGCAAAGCTCCCTACCCTGCATCCGCGCCAGCGGGGCAGCCCACGGGGGCTCTGAGGCACTGGGGCTCAATGAGGACGTGCTAGCCAAAACACAGCACCTGGCCAAGCTCAGCCCTTCTCATCAGACAGGTCACCTCCAGTTTAATAAACGGGCTGGTGCGCCCGGCAGCACGGTACAGGTGGCAGGACAGCCCTGAGAAAGCTACTGGAGATCCGCCAAGAAACACCAAGTCAGGCTTGCTGGGCCCAAATTAAGCCCACAGGTGCAAACCTGCAATCCAGTTCCTCCCATGGCTACAACACCCTCATAACCCGAGAGCTGCCCTGACACAGGGCAGACTAATCCCCTTCCAGACTCCACACATCACACACGTGTCTTGGCAAGACTGGGAAAGCAGCAGAAGTTAATGGTAACAACAAACTGTGGGGAACGGCTGAAGTTACTCAAACAAGGCCACCTCCCAGGTCCTGCTCAAAGCCAGAGGAGAACACAGTATTTTAGCAACTCAGCCACCTCACCAGGCAAGAGCCCAGTATGTCCTGGAATGGCTGCACGTGAAACTACAGCTTCCATGTAGAAGCTGTGATTTTCATTAGAGGTTAGTTAACACTTAAAAATACCTTTGTAGAAACCTGTCTCTAGAGTATACCTTCATATTTAATAAGCTCTACCACACTCAAAGGCTTGAGTAGGATATATACAGTTTTACTGATAATATCCCCTTTAAAGACACAATTAAGAAATCCAGCAAAGCTATTACAGTGTTCCAGTCTCAAGTATTATTGATAAGCAATGTCAGCAGATTTCACTTGTGATCAAATAATTTTAACATAGCTTTTAGACTTTCAGACCTGCAGAAACAGAAGATCAAGTTAGTAGTAGAAACTAGGAAACCAAGTCAGAAGCACAATGTGCATTTGACCTACGTAAGTACCGTGATGCCTGAAGGCAGGTGTTTGAAACAGGAGCACAAACTTTGTTGTTCCATCAGCACATCCGAGATGCAAGAGGGTAACTATTCACCCACAGCAATTTAGCCACTCTTTTTAAAATTTTTTATTTCAAGTCCTACCTTCTTCATCAAGTCCACCGATTATGTTGTAAACATAGTAAGGAAAGAATCGTCGAGAATACAGAATTGTTGACAGCATTGCTGCAATAGCCCCAGTCGTCATCGTCTTGTTATTGGAATGCTTGTACATCTGCAAGTGGAACAGCACATCCAAGAAGAAAGTCAAACACCAAGTTCTACCCTCAATCAGAATTACATTTTCTGTAACCTCACTACAGAAGAATCTGATGCTAAGCAAGACTATTAACTAGCATGATTACTAAAACCACACTACTCTAAAAGTAAAGCCTTCTTACAAAAATTAACCTTTCTCAAGGTTTTGTAAAGAATAGATGTTGCCTCATTAATGGTGTCCTCTCCAGCTCTTCCATTGTTTAAATCTGTGATGTTACCTTAGTTAGAACACAGTGGCAATTTCCCCTGCCTGACCTTTCACTAGCAATACAGTTTTATGTTTTCATCTACAGAATGATAGAATTGTTTTGGTCAGAAAGGACCTTTAAATTCATTGAGTCCAACTGTTAACCTAGCACTGCCAAACCACCACTAAGCCATGTCCTTCAGCACCACATCTACACCTACATTTTTTACATTTGACTTTTAAATAACTACGTGGACGGTGACTTCACCACTTCCCTGGGCAGCCTGTCCCACTGCTTGACAACCCTTTCGGGGAGGAATTTTTTCCTAATATCCAACTTAAACCTCCCCTGGTGTGACTTGATGAGGGACGATACAAACACATAAAAAAAAAAAAACAACCCAAAAACTGTATCTGAGTCATATTATTGGTCTCGTATGTAATTTCTAAATACAATAAGATAGATACCTACCTTTAATCTTGCTTCAATAATTTTAGTAAGGGTGAGGCAGTCCCCATGGAAACCAGCGCAGCCAATGACCGTTCGATCTGTTCTGTAAAATGTACAATTTTGTTGCAGTTTTAGATTTGTTTGTATAGGATGAACCATGCCACTTTCTTCAACAGTCTGTTACGAAAACAACAAACGTATTTTCAGTTTCTCTAATGCTACCAAAACCAACTGCCCAAAATGTAGTGACGGGTATTTTACATACAAAAGGCCACTGCAACCTGCACCTTGGAGAGAATTCATGAAGTGCTGATGGTTCTCAGTGTCAGCACAACAGAAGTGACCTGGCTGCAGAAGCACTGCAGAGAGTAAGCTCTTAGCTCAGTTTCAGAATGTTTCACGAACACTAACTACAGGAAGTTTGAAATTTAAACCAGTAAATGACCAAAGTTCACAAACATTCACACACACTTACAGACTAACACAAAACAGCCATTCAAAAACGGTCTAAACCAAAATCCTCTCTCAGCCTGTCACTAGAATGACTAGAAATCTGGCTGTATTTATATCATCACATCCTATCTTGCATTACCCCCAGATTCACCGTGGCTCCAAAATCAATTCTGTTACTCTCCTTTTTTCAACAGTGATAGATCGTTCCAGGCAGGCGACATGCTCAGCAGAACAAAAGGTCTTTCATTTGTTCCAATTCTTATGAGATCTGGACTTACAGTTTGTAGCATTTTGGACTGTCCCGGCAGTGAATTGCATAACCTTCACTCAGTCGTGTGTCAGAGGCAACAATAGCAAAGTCTTCTCCAGCAATTGCCAACACAGTCCTTAAAAAAGAGTATTCATAGAGTCATGACTTGCAGCACTGGTATTTTCTTAGGCAACAGAGGAACAGACTAGGTAGTAGTTCTATACCCAACCTCATGTTTTCTCAAACATCTTATAACCCTTGCTGTGTTTCCAACCATGCACATCCCTGTATCTGACCAAGAACAGAGGAAAATACCAGACACACCAAAGAAAAATGCGTGCACATGATTCTCTACTCTGACCAAAAACTGTACAGAAACTTGGTAAAATGGAGTTTCTATACAATGCAAGCACCAGACTCAACGGACTTTTAGATGGCTGTTAACAAAAGATTCACCCTTCTTAAAAGAGTTTTGCCCTCCAAACACTCTCCAGCCAAATACTAAACATCAGTATCATTATATTTAAATTATAACCACTTTTACAAATCTTATGTTATCCTATGTTGTTTACTTGCCATTAACTAATTTTGTGACTGCCACACGTGCTACCATTACATAATAAAGCTGACATCCTTTAAAAAGCATTTGGGCGTTATAAAAAGCATCTAAATAACAGTATCCTGGCCAGATCCTGTCTCCAACTGAGGCCAAGCGTCTGTAAAGCACCACCTACCTTTATCAGTTATGGCCGGGTAGCTTTCAACCCAGCAATTACTTCAAAAGCGAGCAATATGTCGTTTGCATTTGTTTCCTGAACCACTATAAAGAAACAACCCCGTAGAAAATGGGAGGTGCCTATTTTGACGAGTAGAAGTTCAGGGAGACCGGGAGTGCCAAAAGCCGCACAGACACCCAAGAACACCCCGAGGAGCTGCAAGGATCGCGGGAGGGTCAGTCCGGGACCAGGCCGAGCACAGCTCTCCGCCGTGCTGCCTCCCTTTCTCTACAAAAGGCGCTCGCCAGAGGAGACAAACCCTCACAGCGTACCGGACAAAGGCTACAAGGAGACGAGAAAGACCCAGCCCCGCCGCCAGGCTCCCCGGGTCCCCCTCCCGTGTGGGCCTCGGGCCCCCCCCGCCCCGGCCCGCCTGCGGCTGCTTACCCTCCGTTAAAGGTGTAGGGCGAGAAGCGGTACTGCACGGGCGCGTTGAGCTCCTCTTCCATCCCCGGCCTGGAGGCCGCGTACCGGGCTGCGGAGAGCAACATCGTACCACTCCAGCTCCCTGCTGTCTCACGGCAAAATGGCCGCGGCGGAGCCGGAAGTGGCGCGGCACCGCTCTAGGCGGGCCGTGG